CATTATCAATTTTGTCCAAAGAAAATCATCCAACCTCAACTTGATTAAAGGTAAAATTGTCAAAAATAGACATTTTGAAGAAAAATCCTCCCATTTAAGAGGTTAAAATAAAAAGAAGTATACTTGCTGTCTCATTAACACTGACCTAAATTCTGTCCTTGCTCTGCTTTTATTTCTAGTTAAAATATTAGAAACCTGTCATGTTTTATAAGTTCTTGTAACTTGTAACCAACACTCTTGAATCAAAAACGCAAAGGAAAAAAAAAACACCATCTGTATTTTCTTTTTTACCGAAATCGTCAAGGTTGTTGAYGCTGGTCCCAAGAATGCAGAACTGGACGAGTAGCTGGAACTAAACTTAAAAGTTTATTTAAACAGAAAACAAAAAGCTGGTGTGGCTACAACTTTAATAAATGTACGGAGAAACAGGCAGACGAGGAGCAAAACACAACAATGCTTGACTAATGGGACCTGGGCTGATGAGAAAAGAGACTGCAGCTGTGACAACAGGGAACACATAAGATGGCTGTGGAAAAATGCTGAGGAAATGGACCGGTGGCACAGGGAAAACCCAGGGAGGCATGAAGAAAGATCTCATTTAAACACAAGAACCAAACACATTGACAAAGTAAAACCAACAGGACAACAATAAAGAAGCAAAACTCAACAATAACCAAATAATCATAAAGACACAGGACAAGACTAAAATGCGATGGAACAAAAGTATGAAAGTGATGTGAAACTGAAACAGGAGCCCCTAAATCAGGATTTAGGTATAATCAAAATCATTAGATTACAAACATCATTCTAAATACTAAAAAAAGAACCTGACCAATGATTACAAGCAAGTTTTAAACTTAAAATAAGACACTGAGGTGCACACAACTTAAACAAAAAGACTACAAAGAGAAGACTCAAAGCTGAGTGGAAACAAGTTTAATAAGAATGAAAACGTGATTTGAACGACCTCCGTGCTTCGATTTGATGTGGGTCGCTCAGTGGGCTGCTCTGTGATTCCACAGAGGTAGCTTTCTAGGTCAGAGGAACACTTCARCTTATACCCAAGACCCGTGCACTGAGAGAAAAGTACATTTAGTGCACTGAAATAGGTCACAATACCGACTAAACCTTTATCATCAAATTTCCACCAAACCCACAGAACACGAGTTGCATCCTGCTGCCTGTCTTCTCAGAGCGGCTCAGGCTCTCCACGTCCTCTGAGCAGTCAGAATCAAAAAGGCTCAAATAGGCCAGAACAGTTTTCTTTAAAATTCTGCAGTCTTTGTAGAATTAATGACTTTTTAAATGCAATCGTGAAAAATGAATCCAAATGTTTCCACACAGTTGTTTCTGCAACCTGATGTCTGCAAACAGACACAATTACTCTATTTTTCTCACTGTCTGACATTAAATCAAATCTTTTCCCTATTTTGGGCCTGTTAAATTGATCCTTTTTAAATTATGTTTTAAAAAGTTTAACAATATTGAATGTGACATCATCAGGCATCGGAAATCATACCCATGGAAGAACCAGAGTTGCAGAGGGAGACATTTCTCCTTTATCTTCTTTGATTTGTTTTTTTATTACTCTCCCATGAAGTCATGCAAAAGAAGCAGAGTAACTGAGGTGAGCTTTAAACACAGGTGTGTCTCCACTTAAACTAAAAGATTCCAGAACTGTGACWTTATTACCTGGACTGTCCCAGGTTGCTTAAATGTGCAGCAATCTGGTTATTTATAGACTTGTGGCTTAAAATAAACCAAACAAATTCAATTATCCCTCTCATTATTCAGAGATTTAAGAAATAATAATAAAAAAATCCCAACTGTTGCTGTTTAACATGTTTTAATGTCAGAAAAATGGTTGTGTCTTTTCATCATCTGGTTTTTGACTTTCCGTGCTACTTAAATTAAGTAACTTCTAAAACTTTTATCCAGGATGAAATATGCAGTAAAAACAAATAAAAGTACACAGGTCTTGATGCTTCTAAAAGAATTTTTGTCTTTGGCTGAAAAAGTGGCTCAAACTTTCGGTGGTCTTGCTGAGATCAGTATCTGTAAACGACTTCCTGTCTTCCTCTCACAGATACAGATCTACCACTTGGTACAGCCATGTGTGTTTAAACAGCTGTCAATGTGATGGGTCATGCTGAAAAATGGGCCATCAGCAAAGTAAACAATCAGATCTTTGTTTTCTTTTTGCGTAACCTGTCTGCATGAGATGAGTGCGTGCAAAAAGAAAAAGCAGCTCACTTAAAGAAAAGCAGCTCTTTGCATATCATGATGCCTCACTTGTCTGGTTGATTTTAAAATTCATCTAAATTTAAACTTAGCACAAAATAAAATAAATTTGTGTTTGGTAAATGATTTCTTTGTTGTAACAATGCTTCTTGGCAATAAATCTTATACTGTTGGAAAGTCTGTTAATTTGCCTTTTTAATGGTGCCACATTTGTAAGGAACATGCATTTGTGGGATGAGCATAGAGATATGTGGGTTGCACACATAAAAAAATTCCCTAATCTTCTCTGCCAAACAGCCAGATATTGAGCTGGCTTGGTGTGGTAGTGATTGAGAGTCTCACCCAACATATAATTCAAGCTCAATAAACTTATCAGATTATGCAATATCCCTTAATGAAATGTACATTTGTCCAGTCTTTTCTCATTGAAAGATGAACTTGATTTAAAACTTTCCCACTCAGCAGACAGGCGTGGGCCAGATCTGGTGTCAAGCTGGCTACTGCTGGCATGGAAAATGGGTTATTGTCAACTGGATTTGGGCCAGGGGTCCCTTGCACGAAAGTTAAATTCAATTCAGTTAATTTACAGCGGGTAAAATAAGTATTGAACACGTCAACATTTTTCTCAGTAAATATATTACTAGAGGTGCTAATGACATGAAATTTTCACCAGATGTTGGT